CTTCACTAACAAAACCAAGTGCCAAAAAAGAAATGTCCAAAAAAAAAAAAAAGGTTTTAAGGCACATTCGCAAAACGGAAAAAAAACGTAAAAACAAATTTTCTGGAACTCACTCTTTTCTGATGTTTTTGTTACTTGAAATAAAATCCAAGACACCAAGTATAATTGTTGGTACCACTTTGGTTTTTTTTTGTCATTTTCGACCAACAAGGACAGGGAGGTATTTGCTGTTTTTGCCAAGTATCTGCTTATCTTAGCTTGGAAAAGTCCAAATACAACCAATCCAAGTCTTGAATAGGTGTCACGCTTAGTTGTTAGTACATTGTCTGTCACCAACAGCTTTTCTATTAGATAGTCTGGCTGAAAATTTTATATGATAAAATCATAATCAAACAATAGAATGGTAATATTTTTCTAATCTGAAAATTCATTTCTCATAGATACTCACCTCCTCACCCAGTAATGTTATTTCCTTGCACATCTGCCCATGAGACTTGCATGCCACTAACCTTGAGCTAATTCCCACCTAAATTCATGTGTTTAACGTGGACTGCATCGATATCATCTTGCAACAATAGCCCTTCACAAATAGGAAGGCAGCATAACCTCCATGCACAGTAACTCCCCCTACGCACTTGTGATAACTTCATTCTTAGACAAATCAAGAAAAAATGTGCACTGGAAGTGGGTAGGATGGGTGGGAATGTGTGCAGAAATACATTTTCAGGTTAGGAAAATGTTAACTACCAGAACTGATAGAATCCCATGCTGGACTGGTGGAGGGGCCATTGCAAAAATTAAACCTAGATGAGCTCCCTTCAGAAAGCACCTGTAGAGAAAGCCCATGGAGTGTGACACTCGATGGCAGGGGCTCCATAGGGACACACCTGTGGAAGACCACATCTCGTCTCAACCACAGTATACTCTTTGCCCAAGAAGAAAGGGAGGGAAAGGCAAAATCACCTGAGGTGTTGAAGGGATGGGCAGAATGTGCTCACGACCAACCAAACATTTGCACACAAGCTGTCGGTGAGCCAATAAGAGTAGTGTGGTTAAGGCTCAATAAGACCATATAGTGTGTACTCACCTCGACTCTACTGGACAGACTTTGGCTGCAGGAAAAGGGCACATTAGCTGTGTGAGGAGTGACCTGTACTACACTGACAGTGTCACTACTGCCCTACTTCTCACTGTATTGTGCTAAGCCTAACCAGTGAGGATTCTCCATGGTCCACCACCCCAGTGGCAAGGAACTGGTTTGTGGCAAGGGTCTCCCTTGCTTCACTTGAAGAGGAGGAGTAGGAGAATTTGCATTGGGGAGTCCTGGAGAAATACCCAGATCCCCATTAGACCACTAGCTGGAAAGGTGTTTTATGTTTTACTGGAGACAGTGCAATGGATGATCAAGAAACCCTATTTTTAAAACTGGGCAACATGAGCCAGAGAAGCGGGCAATCACTTCCCTGGTGCTGGCTTTTTCCTTGATAATCCATGGAATTTGTATGGTCTGGATGAGACAATTAAGGAAAAGAGAAGTGCAAACCTTGGTGACCAGACATTCCATAGCTCACAGGCGAAAGGAAGAAGGCAGAGCTTGGCTGAGACAAAAGTTGAAGAAGACACCCAGATATACCAAATGTTGAGTGGACATGAGAAAGGTCTTGGATATCTTGAAAAGCAGCCTCCTGTAGAAGAAGAGAGGTGTGAGAAGATGATACCTCCTGGGAATGGACAAAGAGGAGCCAATTGTCCATGTAGAAGTGGAATCTTAGTCCCAGGCCATGAAAATGGCAAACAAAGGTCCTCGTGACTCAAATGAATACGTAATTGACTGACACTATGCCAAAAAGAAATGCCCAGAATTTGCAAACGTGATTCAGATGGACAAACTGTAGAAAACATCTGGAGGATTAGGGAATTGGGATATGGAGGAAGGTGTCAGACACATCAACCATGGTTATCCACAGACTGGGTGAAAAGGACCACTGGAGAGAAAAGACATTCTCCATCCAAAATCATGGAACACCAAAAAATTGGTTGAGAGAAGATAGGTCAATTACAGTATGCCAGTCCCCAGTCTTCTTGGGGACTACAAAGAGATAAGAGTAAAACCCTGAAAAAGGGTCAAATACCCTCTCAATATCATGTTTGACCAAAAGATCTGATACCACATCCTAAATATGCCAAATACAGACTGGGTTAGAGGGAGGAGAAAAGGAAATGGGAAAAGGAGAGGGAGGAGGAGAATGAAGAGAAGTGGAGAGAAAGACTATGGGTGAGAACTTGAAGAACTCATCTGTCAGTGTAAAAGAATGATTAAAGGTAGGAGAACCAAAACAGATGGGCACCAACTGAACCCTATCCCAAAACAGATGGACACCCACTGAACCCTACCTGACAGGATAGTCACTGACGAGATGTGTAATGATAGTGGGTAGTGGGAAGACAAGAAAAGGAAGGTCTGGAATATGGAATGGAAAGATAAGGGACAGACAGAGCCAGTTGAAGAACAGGAGTGGAAGGATGAGGTTGTAAAAGGCAAAGTGGACTGGTGCCAGGCTGCTTTGGCCTTGGACTACAGCAAATCAGAAATACCACCATTAAATAAGACATTAGGTCAAAAAAAGAGAGCATGATGGAAATGATGCAAATAAAAAGTAGGTAGTCAAACATTGGTAAGTGGTGTATCCTGACCCAAAAGGTCTCAACAGGACAAAGTTGAAGCCACCGTAACTTAAGAATTCAGGATAAGAATTAAAGTTTTTGAAACAAAAAATGCTAAAGAAAATGAAACTCAAAGTTTGCTTAAAAATGCAAATCTCATCAAAGTAAACTAGGACTAAAAATCTGAACACATCTGTTCAATGCAACACCAAGGAAGAGAATGAAATTATCACAAGTGCAACGGGAGAATTACTATGCATGGAGGTTGTGTTGCCTATCTACTGGTGGAGAGCTATTGTTACATGATCACATCATCATGCACCAGTACAGTTCAAGTTAAACAAGTAAATTTGGGTGGGAATTAGCTTAAGGTTAGAGGCATACAAATATCATAGGTAGACGTGTGAGGGAAATATAATTTCTTTGCGCGGAGGCGAGTTATCGTCTTGGAAATAAAAGTTTCCAACATTTTTGTATATATTGATATTACTATGTTGTTTTATCCTTATAATGTTATATTAATGCAGTTTTATGTTCTACAAAGAAAAGTATTCAACATTAGAATGATATCTGCATGTTGTCAAGTATTCTACACGAATTCTTGAATTTAATCATTGTAGTCAAATGAATAACAAAAAATGTGACTCCATAAACATATTGCATTTGTTAAAACAGTCTTTACAACTTGTAATTCATTCATAGTTTTTGTTAAATATAATCGAGCAGGTAATTCAATACAGGCCTTTCAAATTCATTTATGTTTTTGATTATAATAAGATAAATAAAATAAACGTTCTTCCAAGTATAAAAGGTTTTGAAGTTTGTAGGGGAAAATATAAAGAGAAAAAAGGTTTTATAAAAAGTGAAGAACATACTTTATAAGTTAGTATAACAAAATTTACCTGTGTATTTAACAGAAATGTAATATCAAGAAGTTTCTCCATCAAAGCTACAGTTGGAGGATTCAAAGTAGCAACAAAGGTGCTGCCATCTACATTACCCACACATCCCTTCCATACAGCATTCAACAACTCTCTAGAAATAAACTCTGCTGAACTGTCTTTCCTTCCTCCTACTGGCCAGAACCCACAGTTGATAAGTTGTTCGTAGCCATTCAACAGATGGCGCAGCATTAAGTGATCTATATACTTTTTCTGAGGTCCAGTGGAAGCATAGCCATGAGATTTGATGATTCTTCACTTGTAATATGTCTTTCTAACGAGTGAGCAAAATCTTCAAGTACAGGACTTGGAAGTTTGTAAAATGCTTTTAAAAGATGAGTTGTCTGAAAATCAGAATCCAAAGTGAAATATTTAAAGATACACCAAAATGCCATTATTTTTTGTTACTAAAAAAATTATTAACTCACCTAAATGTTTTAAGAAGCCGAGAAAAGAATGGATCACTGCAATATTATACTAGCTAGTAAACTTGCAGGCAATTCAAATATATTCTGTTGGTATAAGAAGGTGGATTAAGTTATATAGGTGACATATGAAAAGCAAAATAAATTTTTAAACTATAAAAGTTTTTTTTAATTTCCAATTAGTAATACATAATAAATAATCAGTGTATATGTAATACTATACATTAAGGTCCATTTAATTTTAAATGTTGCAAACTTACAATGAAAAACAATAAGCAATACATACAGTTTATTTAAATTGGTTTAAATAAGCAATTTGTATTCTCTTTTCATATCTGTAATATTCAGTCTGAAAAAGCTTCCATGCTTTCTGAAATTATTAAATCTCTGTCGACGGAGTCAGTTCAGTGAACTAACCCTATTTCTGTGAAGCTACCCATAATAATATTTACTATAATTGTGAAAATACTAAGTAAATACTCACAAAATTTGGCAAGCTTTTAATAAACAAGTCTGTTAAATACAAAAAAAGGAGATTTTTTTTAATAAAGTACATCTACTGAAGATTTATCTGATAACTTATGAAGCCTTTATTAAATCAGTCTGAATGAAAGATGATTTTTGTGATAAGATTTAAAACACTTCACCTTACAGTACTTCCTAAGTTCTAGAATCAAAATGAAATAACAATATAAAGAATATTGTAAAGATAAGCTGCTCTTTCTATTGTTTATAAATAACCCAACAGCATTGTCAAGAGAGAATTATTGACATTTTCTGAAAGACAGAATGACATTGGAGGGGTGTGTCGTGGGCTTGAAAGTTTTTATTATATCTCAGTATTAAAAGCAAGAAGATTGAGAATTCCAAGTTTATATTCTGACTTGTAAATATCTATAGTGTGTATTTCTAATTAGCTGAATACTCAGAAAAGCATAAAAGAGTGAAACAAAAATCTAAAATGAGCAATTTGGAGTGTACATTTGTCATGTGACACAAAGAAGTGAATATTGAGAATCTTTTTATTCTTCCTTTGGAAATTAAGATATTAAACATAAATAATATTACCATTGAAATAATGAACTACATTCTGATCCTACATTTAATGACGTACATCGATAACAGTTGTTTAATTGAATATTTAACGTAACTCTATAAAAGGTTGTGACATTTGCACTTTTGACCCTGCAATGTACATAGGATCAAATCTGTTTTGTTTTTGTCTCTCTATAGCAGCTTGGTCAAACTGGCAGCTCCTACATCATATTCAGCCCCACAATGAATTTATTTGGCCTGTGAACTAAATATTAATCACATGTTTCATGTTTATGCATAAAATCATTTTTACTCACAAATAAATTCCAACAGGAAGGTCCTATTCCTATGTTCACGTAAGATATAAATTATGATCCTACAATGTTCCCATCCTCTACAGATAAGAATCTGAACCATTCTTTTTTAAAATCTTTATTTAATTTCAAACATCTTTGCACATGCCACTGTTCCTATCATTTGATTTATTTGAATAATGCTAGTATAAACCTTAAATTCTAACTTCTTGGCTGCAGTGACTTCTAATACCCTAAAATGATACTTCAGCAAACATAATGTTAACTTTTTGCTGTTATATGAGAGGTATTCCAAACCTTTTAAATTGAGACCTCTCTCAGGACAGGTCCCACGATGGCATAAGTGAAAGTTTCTATGTGAATACTGCTAATTTTTAACTAATTTTTAATTATTATATGCTAATTTATATGCTAATTATATGCTAATTTTTAACTAATTTTTAATTATTATATGCTAATTTATATGCTAATTATATGCTAATTTGTAACTATTACAGTGTATTTCATATCAAGTCTTTAATATACAAGAAGTCAAAACTGAGTTTCATTGGAAATTGAAATTTTCTGCATTATGATTCTTTGGCATGTTACGTACATACTAATGAGGTAGTTGAGATATAATCTCCAACTATCACATGAAGAATGCTAGGGACACAAAACAAAGTAACAAACAATACTACTAAGGTTTGGATCACAAGTTATGGCTGAAAAAATACAAACCTCATGTGGTAGTTGGGTCATGATCTCCAAATCAGTCATATTGAATCCTATAGATGTTGGGTCAAGAACACAGAGTGAAATACACTTCCATAAAGATTTGGACCACAAGCTTTGTGGAGTACAGCTGCTGAGCTCCTTGGAAAAGTTCTGAATAAGAACAGTCAGGAAGTTGAAGAGTCTGACTATAACAGTGCATTTAACCCTAGAAACAAGACAAATCGATGAAAGTTTTGCTTTACAAATGGGTAACACAAGTACTGGACATATCATAAATCATTACTACATGCTCGAATAAACCACTGAATAAAATATTGCATGGTACACAGATACACACACACACACACGTTCAACAGCACTTATTCATGCCATATTTACCTCTTTAACATATTGATTATTTATTTCAATTAATAATAGAAATTCTACATCATGATGTAGTAAGTACAACCGATTACAAGTACATTTTTCCCACCTTTCCGTATATTATATCAATATTAAACACTGATTCATATTTTATTTGTTAAAGATAATTTTCACACACACACACACAGTTTGGTTGAAGTCATTTTCACAAACCATTTGACATTGTTTGGTTTGTTGAATTTTGGGCAAAGCTATTCGAGGCCTATCTGCACTAGCCTTTCCTAATATTGAAATGAAAGACTAGATGGAAATCAATTAGACAACACCAACCACTGCCAACTACTCTTTACCAACAAATAGCAAGAGCAAGATTGACCATCACATTATAACGTACCCAGAGCTAAAAGAATGTTCAATGGCAGGTTTAGATCTCGTGACCCACAGAGTGCTAGTTGACCACCATAACTACCAAGGCCATATCACACTGATAACCCAGTATTAAATGGTTTTTGACAAGGAGAATTTTATGTAATTGAATAACTAAATAATTTATTGTTTCAATGGCTAACGTTTTTTTTTGTTAGCCAATAAAATTAGTTCTGTTCTTTTGTATCATTGAAAAATTTTATTTTTATTTTTTCAATAAGAAGATGTATTAGATTTTGAAAGGACAGCTTCGTAATTAAATGACAAGTCAAAGCAACTTTTTGTTGGAATTATACAGTACAGAATCCTTCTTTCAACCATTGAAGTAAATGAGTAAAACAAATCATTACATTTTGAACTACAATGCTAGAGTATAAGAACAAAGACCTTCTGTTACAAAAAAAAAAAGAAAGAAAGAAAGAAAAACTGGAAAAATCTTTCCATTTTCTCTAAATATTCAGCTTAGCTGTAGTGGCACTGGTTCATCAAGATTCACCTCCTAGTCATTTTCCTCCAGATCTAAGTTACTAAATCATGCACAGGATAGTTTTTTTCTTGTGCAGGTTCCAACTATCTGGGTACACAAAATGTTATTAGCTGATAATGAATTAACTTTATCATTACTTGAAGGTTAATTTATTTACAAACCACAAATTGGAAAGTCCTTCTTGATCAACATGCTGAACCAATTTAATTTTGGACTTTCTAAAGTTATGCTTATTGCTTTTGAACAATTATTTTGTAAGTGAATCAAATTTACAAAGGTTAAGTTTAATTTTTACAACCTCAATAAGCAGGACCTTTTTAAGAGAGCCTCAAAATCTAATTACAACAGTATAACTTAATGTTTTTCAACCGATACTCAGTTACTTTGACTTTCATTAACATTAAATATCAAGGAAACGTTTTCTTTGTAAGACTGACTTCTTTTCGATAACTCAAACACACCAGAAATGTTCACCTTTACTGGATGTCTAATTTTAGTAGTACTACTATCTTTATACTCCTGATAACATATACTTTTCTAAAAACACCGATCTTCAATACTAGTGAAGAGAGTATTACTACTTTCTGATTTGTCAAAGTTGTTGTCACCAAAATTTCTCATTACAGGTGACTACCTTCTCTCCCTTTTAATTTAAAAAGTATTTACTCAATCAATCAACAAATGTTGATAGTTTTTAATAGTGAAATAGACAATTTAAAACAAAAGTAATATGATTTATCAGATGAATCACTCAATAAAGAAAGAGCCAATGACTCGTATTCATCTATTATGTTAAAAAAAGAATATGAGCAATTAAATATCAATAATTTAAAGACTGGAAAACAAGTTAGTTTATAATGCTAGCTCACCACATCTCACCTTTTAAATTCTCCTTTTTCTTTTGGAGATAATAAATCATTTGCTGCTATTATCTCAACACTGATAAAATGGGAGAGAAAGAACTCCAAGCTAGCAAAAATTTTGGTTCCTTTACTTTGGATGCTAGCTATGAAAAATAACAGAAGAAAAGAAATAGCATTGTTAGTGAAATCAAATTATTTAAACAAAGTTTACATGCTGAACTTCATTACTGCAAAATTATTAACCTCATTTACTATTTACTATTTAGTTACTATTTATTAACTTGTTCTAAAATGTTACCATTTTTTTCATATGAAAAGTTTCTAAATATATAAATATTAATAGTAATACATAGATATTTCAAGCACAAGTTTCAGACACATTTAGGGGTAATCCCAACTGGTTGTCTTTGCTGCAAAGCCAAGGTTCTTTCACAATCACAAAGAACACACTCTAGCATATATTAAACAATTATATATGAATGTGTCCATTGTGGATTCAACATGAAAAATATGGACACTGCTATTTATTTACTAAATATAGTCACTTTCTTGTTGATCATAATCTTCAAATTTCAAATCAAACCAAAACAAAAATATGTCTAAAGATTTCAAGTGACAGAAAGAAAAATTGTATATTCATGGATCTACAAATGAGGGATCTTTGGTCATGTATAAATAGTTCAACATATAGAGCAGAATGAATTACAAATTCACCACTCTTACTTACAGTACAACACAATGTCACACAACTGTAGAACTAGGTTTAATTTTGGTAACAGTTGAATCAAATAATAAGATAAATTACTACAGCAAAAATACAATCAAGTTAACAAGTACAGGACCATTTCCAGAAGGAAAAAAATGAACTTGAAGGAAACTATTTCATAGGCAAATCAAAATTAGAATATAATACAACAGGAAAATATACTGTAAACAATCGAATATTAGTTACTAAAAATAATATATTCAAGCATTTGTTTGTTTGTAGTTAAGCACAAAGCTATACAATGGTGCTATCTGTGCTCTGCCTACCTTGGATATCGAAACCCAGTTTCTAGTGGTAAAAGACTGCAGACACACCACTTGGGGATGATATATTCAGGAGATGTTTTGCAAAGAATGAATAGAACACAGATAGCAAAGAAAAAACAACACAATTAAATGAGTAACAGTACAAAGCTTTAATCACGCAAATAAACTTGACTTTTTGGGATCCCATAATCCTAGATTATCCTCATCACTAATCATTCTCATTTAATGCATTTTTAAGGGAAATGTTCCTCTGGCTCATACTACCTTATACAAGTCTCAGTGCCACCCCTTGAAATGAGTAAAACTTCTCTTCAAAAGAGTATGACACAAAAGTAGAGCCAATCAAGTATAAGTCTTCCTTAACAATCATTGTAATATGTAACTTCTAAGGTAAAACATTAGTACGTGCTTACCAACTAACAACATTAAAAAAAACCTGTACAAAACAATTAGAAACATTTACCAGAATATACCTTAATAAAGATATATTCTTTACTATCTATGGAAGAGTGAAATACAGTAGTTCTTTCAGCTGTGATACTATTATAACTATTATTATTATTATGAACCACAGCTTCATAATCAATTAAAAATATTTTAAATACATCAACTGAATTATATTACAATGTAACTAAGATGCAATTTTGCAACTAAACAATGATTGCATTTTCTGTTTTACTTAACCTTGTCCATTAACCTTAATCAGCCAGAACCTCTACACATAAACAATTATGTTGTCACTTTTCTTAAAGGTAGTTGCTATGCATCATTCTTCTAACGAATTCTATAACACATACCAACGCCAGGCTATCACGAGATTATAACAAGCTCAGATTCAATATTTATCTTGAGTTTGCTTAGCACTAAATTAAACAAAAAGTCACCATGATTTTAATTCTATTGTTGTTATAAATTAAATATTTTTGTTTCTTATTAGCTACAGGCTGTTATTTGTTTGTGATATATTAACCCATTAATTACTAAACTAAGATAGAGCTGCTTCTGAACTAGAAGCTTCAGATGAATGATTAACTTAATTAATTCCTTATGAGCACAGACTGAATTGATTAATTGAAATTATAATTAAATCAATTAATGTCATGAAAATAATCAACTAATACTAAACTAAGATAGAGCTGCTTTAGATGAGTGATTAAATTAATTAATTACTATGAGCACAGATTGAATTGATTAATTGAAATTATAATTAAATCAATTAATGTCATGAAAATAATCAACTAATACTAAACTAAGAGAGAGTTGCTTTAGATGAGTGATTAAATTAAATTTATTTTACCTATGAGCATAGATTAAATTGATTAATTGAAATTATAATTAAATCAATTAATGTCATGAAAATAATCAACTAATACTAAACTAAGATAAAGTTGCTTTAGATGAGTGATTAAATTAATTAATTACCTATGAGCATAGATTAAATTGATTAATTGAAATTATAATTAAATCAATTAATGTTACAAAAATAATCAACTTATTAAAATTAATATTTTCAACTTATTACTATTTTTGATTATTCCAACTATCCAAGACTCGTTGAGAATAATCAATTAGTTGAATGTAATTCAGTTAATGTGCCTGATAATTATCAATTATAAAATTCTCCTAATTGCCCAGCTCTATTAATCCCTTACCTACCAGGGCCATTTTGTCTTATCGTGAGGGCAAAAATCACATTTGTGAATTGAAAAAATTATAGAGAACTTATCTTTTATTAGATTTCAGATTTTATTTTTGTAAATAGTAGCATGACATTCAATTATTTGTACAAAATTGTATTATTTAATGAAGTTTAAAGAGAAATTTAATAAAAAAATCCCAAAATACATTTGAGACTATAAATAAGCACCCTCTAAGAAAAACATTTTTGTCAACATTTTTAAAATTTTTTCCTTGCTTATTATAGTAACTGCCATTTAATGTAGAGGTTGTATTTAGTAGTGGTCAATAGTACTTTCTTTTATAAGCCTTAGAAGATTTGCTTCTGGAAAAAAACTGCATGGGATGTATGTGACTTTTATTATTTTTTCTATAGTAGCTTAAGCCATGCTGCATGGTATATCTATTTATATTAATCATTATATTGAAAAATTAACTCAAAATAGATTTATTTCTAGGAAAGAAGTTGATCCACGAATGTTAGGGTTAAAATCTATAGAGTGGCGAGTGCATTATCTTTATGTGAATTAGACTTAGCACTTTGAACTGAAAGAGTTTGTGATTTTTATATTCTTTTGCATTTAAATTAGTAGTTTTAAGTTCAATAATTTAGTGTAATTTTATAATTTACCTCATAATAAAAATATGATTCAGTATTTGGAATGATAAACTTGTGTGATTTGTATGTACTACTACTAGTACCACATAAGAATTTTATATTTTTCCTTCTTACTATCTTTACTTTGTAGTAAGACCCACACTTCTATTGTTGTTGTTTTATAATTAAAATAGTCTAACTGATATATAAAATGTTTTTCTGATATTTTGCAAATGGTTTAAATCTCAGTGTACAAGTGACAACAAT